TGGTAATAACCTCAGGAAGTCGTGGGACACCGCTTGTTCACCTTCAGGAACATGGGACATTTTCATCTCTGACCTCGAAGCATGACAGGCTAATGAAAGCTCGAACTGTGTTATGACTGGCACAGTCAGTTTGATTGCTGAATAGCGGTTGTTCAAAAATATGTAAATCTGAGCGTATGACTGGTTAACTGAGTGGGATTGTAAATCGGCGTCTGTTTCATTGATCAGATGCTATATGGCTTGTGCGTGGAAAAGCAAGGTTGGAATTCACGGTTTACGAATGAAGATAGTCTGTTAAGTTCACTTCCTTTCGTGTTCTTCACCAAGAGTAGTTTATAAATAAAGCGGGTTTCTCTCAATTGTAATAAACGCTCATTTTCGATCATTCGTTGTCAATCCGTTCGAAGGCCCTGCTGATGTACTTACGTAGTTTTTGGTTATTTAGAAACCCTTGCATGTCATTGAAACGATCATAATACCATCAAATAAAGAGCACACATGTCTATGCTAGTGTTTTCACTGCAAATCTATTGATGGCCTATTTCGAGGTTCGTGAAAACCATATCTTTTTTTGTCTAAAATGTCCTTATTGAACAGAGTAGCCTTAGTCGTACTGTAACGTTTCGCTCTGGCTCTGTTTCAAGCATTTCACGTAACCAATGTAATTTATTGGTTTTCACACGCTACACTTCACGGGGACTGTTCGTTTTATAATGTTAGTGATTCTGCGCGAGGGTGAATCAGATTCCAAGTGCTTGTGGTTCTTTTGTGGTTCTACGTTCTGCGTATAAGGAACTCCTGGTCGGTTTCTTGCTTTCATACCAACGGCATTGTAAGGCTGGGTGAAGCGCCTGAATTGCTGTTAGGGTATGCCGCTGACACGCCGTCGTTGTACATTACAAGCCAGATAAGTTTTGCATCAGAACATCGCAGTACTCTACCGATCACCAGATCAGTTACCTGAATTATTGCTCGCCGTTTACCTCTAAAATATGAGCTTAGACCTTGGACCATTTCCTACATAATGTTGCATTACAAATAGTGTTGTTTTTAAAACACGTTCACAACGTGTAAAGTAATTCGTCTGTTTGCAAAGGATGCAAGAAAATTACGTAAATTTCAAACGTATGTACTACTATCCTACTGCTTTTTTTATCGTTTTAATTTGATTATCTTCTAACTAAACACAAGGCTACCTTAGCATAAAGCAGCAGAGATTTTTGAGGTTCAATAAATGGCCGATTGCCTTTCTGCTTATGCACCAAATCAACGTGGTAGTAAATTTGAAATTTACCGCTGATTTTTAACCTTTGACCTTAATCGAAACCTTTACTGATGGTGCTTGATCAATGCCTCTTGCAGGAAGTCCGAGCGGTCACGCCATGGTTTCAGCAGCAGTGTGGTTCATATTTTTGATCGGACTTGAAAACGATCTATTTTTGAAGTAAGTTCTTTTTACAGTTACTTTTCGGCAAGCTACACAGAAGAAAACAGAAATTATGTAGATTTGTTTTAATCTGCTTGTTTATTTACTGTTTACGGCATGACATTCGCTTGCTTTGCTAGCTTTTTTTGCTGCTTACTGCTGTGGCAATGCTTAGCTCTCTGTTAATCTGTAAACCCCGTTGACAGCGGTACTCTGTCTTTTATATTTTTATGCTGTTAGTTTTAGAGACAGAAAAAGTGTCAACTTCAGATCGTCTGCAGTATGATATCGGTATAGATCTAAGACGGAATATGTCAACAGACCCACAGATTGATCATTCTATCAGCAACGACCTTACAAACATGAATAAGAACCACAAGTCAAGCCTATGCAGAAATCCTTCTACGCAGGAACATCCTAAGTTGAGTATATAGATTATGGAATAGAAACTTACGGAAGTTGCTCTACCCTAGTTGTTTGTCGATGAAGCTGTTATCTATAAATCATCCTAAAGTTCATGAGTTCAGCCAAAACGTGGTTTTCATCAAATTTTGTTATCGGTATCATGATGATTAGCTTTTGTCGATCGATTAGTAAATAAAATTTTCTGTAAGGACTTTGCATAGACCAGCTTTTTGCCATTTTCATCCATTTTTTTCTACCGACCTTCCTCAACTCGCCCTGCCATCGATCCGGAGGTATTAATACCGGCCGTTTACTCTCTCTAGATGCAGTCATAGGTCTCACTACGGTCGGTTTTCCATGCAGCGTGTCCTGCAATCACCGTCCGTTTCAGCATGTGCACTTAGTTAATGACATTGCAGACTTCTGTTTGTGCCCTTGCCCGTTTATTCTTTCCGGTTTTTCCTTATTAATTCTAAAACACTTCCTTACTTGCTGCGTTGCGTGATCTTCAGTTTAGAATCGCGTACAGGCTTAGTTTTCACTTTTAGAATTTATACGTTAGTACTGGTGGCACACACTGACCAGAAACTTTCGGTTTCAAACAAAAACAATTTCTCTGATAAGAACAGTTTCAACCTTCCAAAAACGCTCCATGTAATTTTATATTCTATTCATTTCGCAGTGACGGTTTTCCACTCCAGAGAAGTCCTTTCCCAGATAAGCATCGTTTTGAACCTCTTCAATTCTATATATATTGACTTCAGTAGGTCACGGGTTCACGAAATTGATAAGCATCACTTGAGTGTTCGTCATTCCTTTCTGCATGCTTACGTCATTCAGCTTTTGCATTCTTCTTTAGAGTTTTTCTGGCGTTTCCTTGAGAATATTAGAATACCGTATACAAACCGAAACTGGCTTATGTAGTGCCCATTTTGGTTCGGGCCGTAATTTTTCTACCGGAGTATCTTGAAAACCTCTTCTAGGGCTGCTGTGAACAACTTCGATGGTATCGTTGATATAGCGTTTCCCTGTAGAACACCCTTTTCGATTTTGAACTTACTTGTGCTTTCCTAATCCTTCTCAATATTAGCTGAATTTTTACAAATTATATCGATGAAGTCTGTGTCTTTTCCCGATACCATTGGTCCGTAAAAATCCAGTACAGAAGGTTATTCGACTGAGTCAAAATCCTTCTCAAAAGCGAAAGACTCTATCAGTGCAGAAGGTGAAATTCGTTGCTTGTCTGAATTACTTGTTGTACCACCCGGAGATAATCTGTCGTACGAAGTCCACTTCTGAATCTTGCTTGTTCCTTGGCTATGCAGCGTACAGTTTTTCTTGTATTCTGTTAATTAGTACCCCCATGAAGATCTTGCGGACAATTGTTAACCAATTGTTCGATCTGTAGTTCTTAAAAACCTCCCTGTTTCCCATTTTGTGGAGTAGAACCACTGACGCTGTAGTCTACTCTTTTGAAAATTTCAGTTTCTTCAGACAGTGCGAAAACAAACGCTTTAATATCTTGCTCATTGCATGAGTTGCACTGTAATGTCTATCTTCGCCTGTTTTATTGCACGTAGCATTTATTTTGAAAGATAAGTAGAGCTTCTTTAACTTCATTTCTCTCTTCTATTGCCTTATCGTCACCAGTGGTATTACTGTCTTCATTTTTGAGAAGTTAGTTTTCTATGTTGTTACTGTTTTGTAATCGTCATCTGAGGTTAACAAAGGTTAAACGGCACAGTGACCCAGAGCTATGATATCTGCCCGTTAGAAAAATTGTACATCACACTGATATTAGGCAATGTTAACTGTTGTGGCCAAGGTGATATTGCTCTTCGCAAACACGTCTGCCTCAAAAAGATTTTCCGTTTTTGGTAGTGTCCACCACCGCCTCTTCGGCCTCATGCATTCTCGTTCTGGGCCGTTTTATCAAACCAACCTAGATTTATCTGATAGTTTTCTCAAACTGGTGGTCGTCAGCACCTGCTCGGTCATGATCTGATAGTGTCATCACATGCGGATGAGGGTGCTGCTCAAACAGCTTTGCTGAAAGCATTTTAAACGAGTTTCATGAGGCTTAAGGATAACAGATCTCGAAACGAATTTCGAAACTGTACATGAGCACTTCGAATTCGACTACTCTCAGAATGGTGATCCTCGCGTTTTGGTGATCAGTATCGTACTCTTCCGTTTATATAGTCTGATCCTTCTATACGTAATGCAGTTTGAAATACACCGCTCCTACCAGTCTGATATGTCTGATTTATTTCAGGGTCATTGTCGCGATCGTTAGTCAGCAGAGTTCCAAGAAATTTTAAATGGTCCACTCGTCCATCGTAATGCCATTCCATAATATCCTTGAACTGTCGGTCGCGACGGGCGCCCTTATAATCTTCGTCTTTTTGGCGTTCACATCTAGCCCTACTCCAGCAGCGGTGTCTAACGCGCTTTCACTTGGTATAGCTAGACTACTGGCGAAGTCGCTCAACAGCACCAGGTCACTGCCGTACTCAAGGTCCATT